CTTCCTGTTTGATTCTGAAAAAAAAAATTATTGGCTGAAATATAAACAGTGCACTTTAACCTTGATAACACCTGAGAGGAATAAAGATATTTCCTATGCCCCCAGAGTTTAGTACGAGATTATGAAAAGGATAAATGTTTGCAAATGCTACTAATATCAAAACATGTTGGGGAATTGCTTGGCTTTCACATTCCACAGCTCTCATCTCTTCACATTTAAGTCACTTGACGCCTAGCTGCAGACTCCATGATCACAGAGGCCCTGAGTCCATCCTGACTATGGATCAAACAATAACAACAGGGACTTTGAGTCTAGTCCTCTGGGCCTCAGTGTTCTGGTATTTATCATAACTGGACCACTGAAGTGTAGAGAAAATGGGGAGGAGTCTAGTAATCTGGAATCAGACCCTTATAAGAATGGGCTGGCTAATGGGAGAGAGATTCAATTGTAGGTAATTAGGTGTTGAAATTTACTAGGAGAAAAGAAGGGAGATCAGACACTCTTTCTTGAACACATTCTGCGAAAGTGACTCAGAGCCAATGCTTTTAAAGACTGTGATTAAAATAATGCCAGAGGAGGCAGTGCAAATTAAGTGATTGAAAAGTCAGTGATTAGACTATGAGATGTGGAAAAAAAATAGTCCAATGTTGACAATGTTTCGTGCATTTGCTCCCATGCCAATCAATGGCATTGGCCCTGCTCTCAGACTTGCTTCCTCTGGCTGCAGAACCTGGCTCTGGCTTTGAGTAAAGTCCAGTCTGAAAAGTAGATACATGATCTAGAGACCTTGGCTGTGGACAATAGGTTGTTGAGGTGCAGTTGTTGAATGGGATAGATAGGTGCAAAGAAGTGGTTAAACATGCAGTAACCAGAGTGTCCTCAGCACCTTGATTTTAACATGTCCCAAATGGAGCTCAATTTTTCCCTCAAACTTGAACCTCCTCCATAGTCATCATATATTTAATTATTATTTAGATAGTTACGTACAGTTAATTGTTAACCAAATCCAAGCAGTCCTATTCTAGGAATGCCCCTTATCATTGCCTTAGTCCAAGGTTTCATTGTCTGTCATCTGGACTATAGGGACAGCCTCCTTTTTAATTTCTGTCCTCATTCCCATCAGTCTTCCAATAAGTGCTTCAGTATGGCCTTCCTTAAAATATATTTGATTATGTCATCCTCTCCCTGGTGATCTCCAGCCTTTCCTCCTTGCCCACAGGACTCTTCAATGTGACAAACAAGAGACTTTGCAAGTTGGCTTCCACCTACCCCTCCAGTCTTATTTCTTTCCACTTTCTGTGTTCACACCCTGTACCACAGCTACACTGACCTTCTGCCCTTTTCCAAACCTACCATGCCTTATTATCGCTCTACTATTGCTCCCTTCTCTCTTCCCACCTCTCCTTATCTAACAAATAGAAGTGGAGTAACATGGTTTTTCTCTTATGCTAAAGGATTAGATGAAAATAGCCACCTTACCATAGTAAGGTAACACATAGAATTACTTCAAGATAGATCCCAGGTCATGTGGAGATAGTGACTTGCCAAATTATACAGAACCATTAGAACAATAGATGAAAGAGTCAAAAGAAGCTTATCTCATTGTTTTTGGCTGTTCTCTATGTGATATTTTTAGTTTGTCAGATTTTAAAAAGATTAACAATCCAGTGTCCAAAGTACTACATATAAATTATATAGCAAACTAATTCTGTCAATTTGCTTATTAAAATAAAAAAGTTTCATGTTGTCTGAGTAGACTAATTGAGTAGCTTCTTATATCCAAAATATTCATCTAAAGAAAGACAACTTACACTCAAAAGTTAATAAGAATAAAATTTAGATGAATAATATGATATTAAAAGCTATAGCCACAATACCATAATACATTTCTTCAATTTTCCATTTCTGATAAAGGATCCTAAACATGGAATTAAAATCCGTGTTCCAGCAGTTTATTTTAAGAAACATATGAAGTAAAAAGGACTGGAATGCTCCAGGAAGTAGTTTTCAAGGCAAAAGTTATGCCCCTGATCTCGGTAGGCTTGTAATATGGTCTCTGCAGAACCTCTTGCTCCTGGTTTTTCAATTACAACTTCAAATCATATTCCTGATTAGTAACAAGCAATCAATCATAATTAATTAGTTAAAATGTTCAACCGTTAAAATCATTACCATTAATTAAAATAATTATCTCTATTTTGGCTGCACTTCATTACCATTTCTGAAAACGCATTGCTTGACTGTACTGCCATTCTTAGTACAGATTCTCCGTGAATGCAATGCATACAATAGATAATCTATGAACTACAGGTTTTAGATTTTTTACTGTTGTTGCATCTGGGGAAATCATTTCACTACAGTGTTATGGGCCTTATGAACAAAGCTCTTTGAAATGAATGCTAGCTATCACTGAATGCTGGCAAGTGAGGATTTTTGAAAGAACTTGTGCCTTTGAAGGAAATGTTTGTTTTATAGGCTAAACAATAATCTAGATACAGGGATAGCCAGAACTAGTGAAGTAGAGTAGATAACAGAATTGGGCTAATCACCTGGAACTCACTACTGAGTTGAGGACTTAGAGAAAATGAAGATAAGTTAAGAGACATGGAAGATATTGAAGGTACAATGAACAGCAATAACTTTTTCTGTTAGAGACTTAGAAGGATAAAATGAAAAGAATAGAAGAGAGAGTATTTGAAGTGGTAATGACTGAGAGTTTTCTAGAATGGAAAAAAGATATTTGTCTCAAGCAGGGTAAATAGAATCAAATTCACATCTAGACACATCATAATAAAACTGTAGAACTATAAGGAAAAAGAGGGAAAAGACTTAAAGATATCAGAGAGAAAAACCAAGTTACTTTCAAACTTGGAAACATATGACAATTAGAATCATAGGAGTTAATTACCAGGGACAATAGATGTTAGAAAATAATGGAATCTTATCTTAAAGCACTGAGGGAAAATAACTTGAACCTAGAATTATATCAAGTAAGAGTGATGAAGACATTTCCAGATATACACAGATATAGCACATTCCTACCTTCAGACCCTCACTGAGAGAAATGCTCACGCACGTGCTTTAGCAACAAGGAAAATGAACCCAAATGCAGGAAGAAATCCTGACCAAGGAAATCAATCAAACCTGCTGTTAAGCCTAAATACATGTTGGCACTAGTAACTAATTTGTAGGGGAAGGTGGTTAAAATGATGGTTAGGATACTAGACACCAATAACATGAAAGGTGTGAGCATGTGATGCTGTTTGGAGAGAAGTTAAAACACGTTTAAGATTCTTGTCTTGTTTGGGAGAAGGGTGGCATTTTTAAATTAATACTTGTTAGAAACACATAGTATTAAGGATGCATGTTAGGTAGGTTAACTTACAAAAGTAGCATAAACTTTGTGAGAATGTTGCTTCTGTGAAAATGGATGGGATGGGGAGACTGGGTTTGAGAAACTGTGCGACGAGGACTTCACTGTTATCAGAAGCAGCTTTACTGTAGACAGCAAGGACATGGCTTTGGGTCGTAGCTTTCTGGGAATGCATACCAGCTCTGCCTCTGGTATAGCCTGAATTGTGTCCCCCTGAAATTGATATGTTGAAGTTCTAACCTTCAGTATTAAGAATGTGACTGTATTTGGAGACAGGGCCTTTAAAAAGGTAATTAAGTTAAAATAAGGTTAGTAAGTTAAGTCTTAATCCAATATGACAGGTGTTCCTATAAGAAGAGAAAATTAGGATGCAGATATGCACAGAGGGAAGACCATGTGAAGACACAGGGAGAAGGCAGGTGTCTACAGGCCAAGGAGAAAAGCCTGAGAAGAAATGCTGTAGACACCTTGATCTCAGATTTCTAGCCTCCAGAACTATGAGAAAATAAATTTCTGTGGTTTAAGGCATACCACCTTTGGTACTTTGTTATGGCAGCCCTAGCAAAATAATACAGCCTCTTAAATCTGTATGACTTGGCACAATCTTAAAATTCATACCTTAGTTTCTTCTCTGTAAGATTGAGATAGAGCACCTGGGTGGCTCAGTTGGTGAAGCACCTGACTTTGCCTCAGGTCATGATCTCCCGGTTCGTGGGTTTGAGCCTCGCGTTGAGCTCTGTGCTGACAGCACGGAGCCTGGAGCCTGCTTCAGATTCTGTCTCCCTCTCTTTCTGCCCCTGTCCTGCTCATGCTCTGTCTCTGTCTGTCTCTCTCTCTCTCAAAAATAAATAAACATTAAATAAAAATTTTTTTAATTGAGATATTAACTAACCTATCTCCTAGGTTTTTTTTTTTTTTTAAGATTTAATCAAATTGATGTATGTAAAGCACTTGGAATACATGGTTAAATACCAATAAATGTTAGTTGTTATTTCTTTTATTAAAAGTCTTAAATGTGACACACTATTAACATCGATTAATATGAGTGGTGGGCATATGGATATTTGTTATACTTTGCATTTTTTGGCAAATTAAAAAATTATCTGAATAAAATTAAATCTATTCTCTATAATCTATATCAGATGGGAACTTGAAAGCAGGTTGAAGAACACTACAGCTGATGTTATGGTAGAGGGCCTATTAACAGCATTATTTATTTGAGAAGTATTTTAAGAGCATCTATTACCTGCCAGCTGCCAAGCTGACCCTTTGAGTATTATGTATTGACCAACTGTCTTTCTTTTCTGAGCGTGAGTTTACTACCAATAAAATACTTTTTAGAATTTGTAATCCATTCTACAGTTCCATGTCTGCCTATGGCTTGGCACATGGGCATTTGCCTTGTGGAGCTTATCATAGGCAGACAAACCCAAATGCTTTATAGCCCTGCTTAGAGGATCTGGTGCATCTGCAGTAATTAAAAGAAGAGCTACTTGAAAAGAATTAAAGATTTTGTTAATTATCCTATTAATTGGAGTTATCAGGTCTCCAGAACACAAAGGCAAATAGAGTAGGCAACAGTGAGACCAGATATGTCTCTGGAAGTTAGTATTCATGATATACAAACCTGGGCCCCTTTGTGGTTGAGTCTCATCCAGATGCACCCAGCTATAAAAGAATAATACGAGAACTCATTAATTGGTAATTCTGTACAACTTCAAAAACACATCTCCACCACAAGTGTGAGTTTTCTGACAACCTCCTAATGCCTCAAAGTTGTGGAGGAAAGCTTTGTCAAACCTGTGACTCACCATGATAGCTCAGAGGAACGCCCAGTAGGGCCTGGGAAAAGCTCATCTCATTGAAAAATGTATCCATCATTAAAACAGTTCACTTGGTTTTGTTGAAGTCACCCTCCAGTTCTTATTCTGTGCAGCTGTGGCCTCACAGTTGATTCCAACAACATTCATTCTTTGTTTGATCCTAGTCTCATGGAGACCCAACAACTATTGTAAGATATCGGCTGCCTGTGACAAGGTGGGGGATATTGGCACCATGCCTTCCAGTCTCCTCCTCACCCTATCGGCTACCCACCAGGACAGAAAATTTAAGCGACTAATGCGAATTGATGCTGTTAAATTATAATCATACGAAGAGATATCAAAGTTTCCGTGTGAGCCATAGTTCATGTGTGTTATTTTTTAGTGGTATATCAACGTTTCTACTCTACTAGAGTGCAGTGTGGAAAGCTATTTAGAAACTTTGACGTTGTGAAGTCTTCCTGTTGGAGATGGAAGACATGGAGTTTAACCCTGACCCTTTACTTCCTAGTTATGTATTCTTGGGGGAGTCCCTTCATCCTTCCAGAGCCTCAGAGTGTTCATTCATACAAGGACAATGATAACACTTATTCTGCAGGTTGGAGAGTGGGTCAAATGAAATTGTCTATATAAAAGTGCATGTTACAGAGCCTGGCATAAAGTAGGTCTTAACAAAAGCACCTTTTTTTTTTTTTTTTCCTGATAGAAAGGTTCTATTATGTCCATTTCTATAAATTCACTTGGCAAACAAAACTTTGAGGACCTACTCTTAGCTAGGTGCTATCATTACAGCTGGGGATGCAGAGATGAAGAAGGTATAGTTTACAGGCTTGTGGGGAAGGTAAAGTCAAATATGCATACCTGATGAGTCCTACCACAGAGTAGACAAGATGCAGTGGAGACAAGATAGTGAGTGATAGTCTTGGCCTGAGGGACTGGTGAGTCTTTTCAGAGGCTAGGGTTAGGTCTTATAGAATAAATTTATCATGTGAACAAGATGAACGTGTGTGTGTGCCTGCATGTATGTGCCTTTGTGCAAGCCTCCGGGGAGAGGGAACCCTTTGGCACTAGCTGCTGAACTTGAGGTCTGTTCCTTGTTGGTCAGGCTTGGGGCTTCTCCCTGCTGACTCAGCCCTACCGCCCCTCTTTCTCTGCTCCTGAGGTTTGCCTGAGACTTGGCTTTGGTCCCTGGCCTGGTCACCTTTCTCCAGTCCTAGAAAGCTCATCAGGCAGTGACTTCTGCTAACAGTGCTGCCTCCAAATGGCACACAGGAGCTGAGGGCAACTATGGGTGCCAAACCGGGTCCTTCCTGATTTTGTGCTTACCCTGTGGGGCAATCTCTTCTCAGAGTCTTAGATGGAAAACAGGGAAATACTGGCTGTGTTTGGTTTTCTCCTTTTATAATAGAGGTGGCATAGGGAGTGAATCTGGGTACCCTGGAATCCCCCGGCCCTTCTCCAGGCTCCTCTCCCCATCTCCCTCTTTCTACTACCCACCTTGGCCAGAAGGGGTGGGATCCCCTTTCACTAATTCTCTTGGGAGGTGACTCCTGAGTCACAGCCTTTTCTTCACCCAACCTCTTGGGGAATGGGCTCTTGGGGAGAAAATGCCTCACTAGTCAAGTCACATCAATGGGGAAGTGTTTTTTAAAAAATATAATAGCCATTATGATTATGTGAGAGAATCCACAAATTCCTGAATGAATGAAGAACACCTGTGGGCTCAGCTCTATCACTTAGCACAGCTGACAAAGAGTGTTAGAGCTAATGTGGCTTTAGGAGTCCCACTCAAATGTCCCCTCCCCTAGGAAGACTTCTTACCTTCCATCACAAGAGCTATTTGGCTGACTTACCCCCAGGAGGCTCTGTGGTTTCAGGCACTCCAGCATAACTATTCTATCAGTATGTGGAGGAAAGAGATAAATTTGCACAGGGGTCCTAAAAAGGAGGAAATCACTAGCATGTCTTACAGTTTGGAAAAGGCAAGAGTTGTGAGGTGTGTTAGGGAGGGATTCTGAAATATTTGTAGGGGTAGTCAATAATTTAAGCTTAGAGGACCCAGGTAAATGTGGGTTTACATAGGCAGACAGTGCCATTAAAAAAATGAGCATACAGAGCCTTTATTATATGTTGTTTTTGCTATTAAAAGTAGTGTGTGTATGTACATGGAGAGATGTCACTAAAGTAATTTCTGTCAACCAAGAACATGGAACTTAATTGACATAGGCTCTCTTTCAATCTCTTTCTATTTCTCTCTCTCTCTCTCTCTTAATGTTTATTTATTTTTGAGACAGAGAGAGACAGAGCATGAATGAGGGAGGGTCAGAGAGAGAGGGAGACACAGAATCTGAAGCAGGCTCCAGGCTCTGAGCCGTCAGCACAGAGCCCGATGCGGGGCTTGAACTCACGGACCCTGAGATCGTGACCTGAGCTGAAGTCGAACGCTTAACCGACTGAGCCACCCAGGCGCCCCTATTTTTCTCTTTTTAAGAAATTACTTGGGGCACCTGAGTGGCTCAGTTGGTTAAGTGTCCAACTCTTGATTTCAGCTCAGGTCATGATCTCGTGGTTCTTGAGTTCGAGCCCTGCATTGGGGTCTGTGTTGACAGCGTAGAGCCTGCTTGGAGCCTTTCTCTCCCTCTCTCTCTGCCTCTCCTGTGCACGCTCTCTCTCTCTCAAAATAAATTAATAACTTCAAAAAAAAATTGCTTATCATGTAAGCATAATGATAGGATTACTTTCCCATTATTATGTTTTGTGTCTGAAGGGGAAAAAGGTTTCAGAGAACTTTGTATTGCCTCTTTTATTTTTTAGTTAAAAATTTTTGGAGAGAAAGCATTTAGCTGGCATTAAATAAAGTGAAAATCAGGCTAGAACAGTTCCAAAACTTTCTTCATAACACAATCTTCTGTTGAAATTTTCTCCCTTTGTCTCTCTTTCTCTTCTCTTCCCTTTTCTTCCTTTCCTGAAACTTTAAAAAAGTATTTAATCTATTTCTGGCCTGATGCAGTCAAAGGGCCCTAAACCTAAGGATGCCTTCCAGTCTTTTGTGAACAGGTAGGCTCTTTGGATTTAGGTTTACATTGTGACAAATTTGAATAGTGATGGTTCATATTTAAATCAACTTGAAGGCCATACTACTTTCTCAAGATCTGTTTGTGTATTTCCAATGAAAATAATGTCATATAAACTTCTGTGACAATCACTAGGTATTTAGCCTAATACTTTTCTACCCACCTGAGTGACTCTGTCCCTTTCCTACAAGTCTTAGTAACTCATGCTTTGCTGAATAATTGTGACTCCTTAATATTGTTTTTATTTTCTACTCCCAAACATTTGCTGGTAGCTTTGTTCTGTTTTTCCTCAAATTGGAGGAATTTTCTTCCTAAGTGATATGAGTCTTCAAAGGAGAGTTACATAGTCAGATTTCTTTTGGGTTCCCAAAGAATTGTCATACTTTCTTAGTCCTCTCTGTTGAGGATTTTAGAGTATTTCTCACTGAATGGCTTACAGGATGTTTTTAATGAAGGTTCCATTATATTTTCTAGGTGACCTTGAACCTGTATGCTGGGATACAGGCAGGATGGACATGGGTCCTCTGATGCTCTCCTAACTGTTGGTAAGTTAGTTTTTGGCCTTTCAGAGATACTTTCTTTGAAAACCTTCATCCATTGTTTTTGATTTAAGAATCTCGATCATGTGACATGAGTCTCAAAAGTCCTGTTACCATTTCTGTGGGGCACGGTACCTCACACAGCTAGGGTTCCTGTCTGCTGACTTGATTTTTCTGGAGTTCCTAACTTGGATTCAGCTGGCCCTGACCAACTAGGGTTTCAGTTATCTGAATTAGGCTTGAAAATATTTCTTGGCTTTAAAAAAGTAGGACCTCCTTTTTAGCTGGAATACACAAGAATTTGGAATGTGTTCTTATGGGTGAACATTTAGCCTTTAGGGAGATTCAAGGATAGGCAAGTAAGTTCCATGAGAGTAGGAACAGTGTCTGTGTTGTTGAGATATGATATCCTAAACACATAGGAGGCATTAATTAAATGTTAGTATGGATGGTATTAAATAGTCTATAGTTCATTCAAAGAAAATATATTGCAATTCTCAATAAGATATGTGTCCCTACTGGTTTCTCTGTCAGTGTCAGAGAAACGGGAGTTGCCAATCGATGTGCCTTCTTAATTTTCTGGTCTTTGTTAAGCCAAATGCAATGTTTATAATGAAGGAATGAATATTAAAATAGTCTTCAGGCACTCATTTGAAGGGAGGAAAGAAAAGTTCCTAAGAGATTGTCATCATTTACAAAACCACGGTGCTAAATGACATGAGGTCCAGAGACAGCGTTTTCATGGGCTGGTAGAAAAGTGCACTGCATGCTGTTGCTAGGCAACAGCCCATGCCAGCTTCTCTTGAATGAAGGCCAAGAGAATCAACAGAAACCAATGGGCTTATAAGAAAGGTTTTCACCTAGAATACTAACTTCTGTGTTCTTTTTTGCCGTTATAGATGGTGTATAAGTCTTAACCAGTATTTGGTGGGGAGGGGCTCTGTATGTGGCCGCTATTTCACAAATTGTTCTCAAAGCCATTGCATGAAGTTTTGCTTATGGCCAAGTATTAATTATACAATTTGTGTATAAAATGTAAATTCAGAAAGAAAGAACACATTTCCCTACATGATGTTCCATTTACACCAATATGTAGCCACCCACCTATTTTTTCCTATTTGAATATTCCATTCCATTCCTTTCTCACTTTGGCTACATGTTTTGTGCAGAGTAGATCTGCTCTAGACAGCATGTTCAAACTACATTTGTAGCTAGGAAACTCTTTCTTTCAGCAG